CCACGTCTGTGGGTCGAGCAGGTCAGCGGTGGTGCTGTGGCTGGGTTTAACCCCGGACCGGGTCTTTTCTGGGGCAGGGAGGCTGATGCACCCTTGAGCTGAGGGCTTTTTTCCCGACAGTGTGTTGTGCCATACATAATGCTTTACAGTGTCACTAAACGGGGTGTGGGCCCATCTGTGTAGCTGGATCTTCTATTCACTCTGTTATGCTACTTAAAATCTGGCCAAGGAGATGGATGAAGTGGACGCATTGCATAACTGTGGCTTTTGCTACATGAGTTTATACAAAATAGACGCTCTCAGACTTCTTAGACTTGGGAAATCACTTTGATGTTTTTCTTTATTGCTATTGGAGACTGTTCTCCCTTCTCTCCCCCCCCCCCCCCCCCACACACACAGAAAACTGTTCATACCTTTTCTTACCTGGCTGGTAAATACAGATGTAATTCCTATTTTGCATAATCTGTTTGTTTTCTGTTTGTATACATTGATTTTTAAACAACATATGTGGGAAGGGGGTGAGGTAGTACCTCAGTACCTTTAGAGTGGAAACAAAGGAAAAAACCATAGTGCTCATAGCGTAGGAATTGTACATGGTGGCAATGCAGAGTTGTATATTTTATTTCTCTGAAAAAAACAGCTTTTAATTTTTGAATATATGCAGAAATGGATCTCTGCTGCATTCAGATAGTGGTGTTTTAGAACAAAACGTGAGAGACTTCAAATCCTCTAAGTACTTAAATTTCTGTTCTCTCCTAGGTCATGGTAAAAATCATAAGGATGCTGCCTCAGTCAGGGCTACACACCCCATACCTGCAGCTTGCGGCATTTATTACTTTGAGGTGAAGATTGTCAGTAAAGGTAGAGATGGGTAAGTACGGTATTCCAATTTGATTTGAAATACACATCACGTTTGGGGATGTGTATTTAGCAACTCTGCTGTGCTCAGACCTGCTTTCTGGAAGGGTTACGGGTCATATGGCTGTTGGTTATCACAGGCAGGTATATCATTGGGAGGTTGATTAATAGATGTGAAGGTGGTAGAATGCACTGGATTCAGAGGCACTTATGCAGTTTTTTTATCTGCTGTTTGATATGGACAGTTGTAACAATTTAAGAGTTTTGGGTCTCCAGTGCAATTTGAGTTACAATAGTTTTTTTTTCTTGCTAACTAGGTCTGGTCACTCAGATTCCTGGACCTGAAAAGGAAGTATTATGGTGTCACAGAGATGACCTAGGAACCTAGCCCAGATAAATTCATGACAGATGGAGGAAATGCTGCTTTTTAATTTTCTCCTGCAGTGGGGGATGAACATGTTGTAACCCAAACTATTTTCATGGGCACATTTCTATTGAAACGTGGATAGATGTTGGATTTAGTATTTACGTAGACAGGAGAGAGTGAAGGAGGTATGCAAAGAAAGAGAAATGAGGTATTTCCAAATATAGGCTGAAACTTCTGTCATCTTTTGTCCAGGACTTGAATTTGGACTTGGAGTCATTTTCTAAGAGTAGATTGCAACACAGAGTATTTTGGCAGATAACAACTGTGCAAGCTTGGGAGACTGTGTTGGTAACAGAATGCTAGATATGAGAATGTTTTTCCAAACTTGATCATTGTTTTTATGACAGTATTTAATATTTTAGGCTGACTTTGAGACTACATTTGCCATATCAGTCCTTATTATTTAGACCAGTAGCAACTAGAGGAATTGCAAAAGCAGCAAGTCCTGTCAGTAGCATTAGAAGCAGCATGGAAACAGCTCAATTACTCAATTAAGAAACACTCACTGTACTGGCAGTGAGTTTTGGATCTCATCCAGACTTGCAGTGACTGAATTGAGTGTTCTGTTCCAAAATATAACAACCAGGTTGAATGTGAAGTTCCTTTATATCCTATCAGGATGTTTGGAAACTTGAGAAAATAATAAAGGGGTATTACCAACAAGATTTGGGCTTCTGCTGCCTGTATAGATGATTTTTAACCATAAAAAAGATACCAACCAGCTGTGTGTGCGTGTGTTTTTTTTTTTTTTTCATTGCTAAAGGATGAACATCACAAATACAACCATGCAGAAAGGAGGGTGCTAAGTATAATTCGTTAATCCAGTCCTCTAAGAAAACAGGTTGAACTCTGGGCAATTTAGGGGCCTGAGGAAAGGTCAGCAAGGATTCCTAGTAGACGCCAAATTACAGATGTAATTTCTTATTATTGAAATTTTTTACTGTCCTTGTTAATTGAGAAGTGGCCTATTTAAGAAGGAACTTGCTAAGGGTCTTGAATTGTGTTGCATTGTCTTTGTAATACTGGGCATAAATTTTTATCTCTCCAGAGGTGAGTGCTGGGCTGAACGCTTTACAAATGCAGGGAAAAGACTATCTCTGTTCTTTCAGTTCACTGACTCTATGTTTAACTGCTTATCTGTTTTGAAACCCCACACTTGATTTGTTTATGTAACTGCTGAAATTAAAATCGTTTACAGTGGACTTCAAGATAGTTTTCGAAGGAAATCATGTTAGGTCACTGAGCAGTACTTAATCCTTACTGTGGTCTAGATCAGTCTCGTGGGGAGATAATGGAATTTGCTATGTGTCTCCCAAGATATGAGCTTTCTGTCTCAGCACTCCTTTTTTATTGCATTCTATCATTATAATTACTTTCCAGGAATAATTTGGGAGATATGGAACCATATGTGTTAACCTTATTGGAATATAAACATGAAAACTTGGTAGCTATGATCTGGTGGCACTGTAAGAAATCAGCGCAATGGCAAGCCTTTGTAGAGCTCCTCTGTCTCAACTGTTCTTGTACCTGACTTTTCTTTTGCTGGTAGAGAGAAACACAGAACTGCACAGACAGAGCTCATGTTTTTGTCTTATGCATTGCAGTACTTGGGCTCTGTAATTGTGGCCTTATAGCTAATGCCTGTCTGTCACTTAAAATGTACTTTTATATGGTCTCATCTTTAATAGTTTGATTTTCAGCCTGCCCTTTAGGGGCTCGGTATATTGAAATTGTACACTGGGACAGAGACATCTTGCTTATTGTGAAACTCTTCAGTGTTTGTTACACCATGGTGGCTTCAGTTTAAAGAAATAAAATGCCAGAATTTGAAGAAGGGCTTGGAGGGAATGGGAGGGGGCTTTCAAGTGCCTGAAGTGGTTAAACATGTCCCTAGGAACTCTGCTGGAAGTCCGTTAGCAGGGGGAGGGGAAGAGGAGTCTTTCTGGATACTTCAGGTATAAAGTTCCTGCTTTGTAGCTTGTCATTTTATTTGTGCTGCGTGGAGTAGTGAGGTAAGGATCATGTGATTCTGTTTACTGTGTTTCTGGATTTTGTGATAGCTTTTCAGATTTATGTTTAAAATGTGAGTGGTCAGGTTTCAAAACAAGACTTACCTGAAAAATACTTTGGTGGAATGAATTTCAAGAAGTGTGCCATAAGGAGTTCTGACTGATTTTGCTCAGTATGCAAGATACCTTTCTGCGCTAATAAATCTGTTATAGTCTAGCACTGTATACCCAGGTTAGGTGCTGACAGTTGCTGACATACCACGCAAATTAATGTTGGAGGTAAGAAGTGGGATAGAAGCTCTGAGTGGCTTTTACTAGGGATATAAGAACACCGTTCTGAAGCTCACATGATTAATTTTGCAGCCTGACAAGAGATGTTGCCTCTATATGATACAATCTGATAAGAGAGGGACCTTGAATTGACTATCAGACACTGGCAGTTCTGGATTGGTGGTTTCACTGTGGTACAGAAATGTTATGAAGGTATCAGTACCGCCTTTCTAACTTCTCACACATGTTACTTCTAGGAGGTTAAGGTGATTTAAAGCTGGTATGCTGTGGTCCACTCTTCTTGCAGTCACTCCTTGGTTGCTTATTTCTTTCTTTCCTCCCAACCTCCATTGCATCCTAGCTATAAAAAATAATTATTAATATTCAGTCAGATCAGTGTTCTGCTCAGTTTCGCAAACCCCAGTGGCAACACAAGAGAAGAGAGAGGACAGCAGCATGGTCACAGGTTGTTTTAGATCACTGTGGCACTGCACCCATAGCTGGCAGAACAGCTTTCACTTTTGCATTGTCTTTCTGCCCTGCCCTGTAATGCACCTGCTCTGTAAAGGTGCTTTTGTTCTGGAGGCAAATGAAATTGTTTTTGACAACTTGCTCTTCACTATTCCCAGACTTTTCTGTCTGGGCACTGGTGAAAACTAGCTTAGTTTTCTGGCTGATGTTTCAAAGCAATGTATAGTATGCAAAGAGCATCGTCTTTGGATCCATTGATGTACTTTAGACACTTTTAAGGTTTATCAGTTTTTCTTAGCTCTGGATCTTCCACCATTACTGCACAGATATATACCCACCATTTAAAAAAAATATGATTTAAACTTGTTTTTAGCTGAACAGTAGTCATTTCTCATTCTAGTTGTTTTATTCTTTATTGATAAGAGGTCATCTTTTTTCCTGGGAGAGGGACGGCTGCTAGGCTACCATTGAAAAATTGAATTGAAAAGGAGGCTATGTCCTTCACATAATAAATCAGATCTGACAGTAGATTGATTTGCTGGTTTTGATGCTTTATCTTTGGGGAGATGGGTCCTTGTTGCCAGAAGAGAATTTAGTTTACAGTCTCTGCAAGTAGTACCACAGCTCTCTTTTTACCTCCTTGTCTGCCAGAAACGCACAGGGAGCAGTTCCACAACAGTTTAGGATGATACAAGTCAAGGCTGTGTGGTTCTGTGTTTTGTATTTCCCTTTTTTCCACACCTTTCCTCACACTGGCAATCTGTTATTATCCAGTCCTTTAGTGAGCTGGTTCAAGGAGATAACTGCCTGAAAACCAGACACATCAAAACAATGATAATATTTAAAGATTTAATCTATTGATGTCACTGTGTCAGTAACTGCTTGCTGGGAGAGGGGTGAATAAGATTGCAGTAACTCTCGTTTAGTTCAGTTCAAATTGTTGTTAAAGTACGCTCTGAAGACTTGCTGGGGGCTTAATTTGCTGTGCCATTGTGTGTCTCTCCTGAGTATTGTCAGAACAAAAGGACAAGAGGCAATGGTTACAAGTTGCAGCAAGGGAAGTGCCAGCTGGACATAAGGAAAATATTTTTCCCTATGAAAATGATTAAGCACTAGAACAGGTTGCCCAGGGAGGCTGTGATGTCATCTCCATCTTCAGATTTATCTGGACAAGGCCCCAAGCTTCCTGATATAACTTCCAAAGTTGTTCTTGGGAAGGAGGTTGAAGTAAGTGACCTCTTGAGGTCCCTTCCAGCCTAAAACTTTCTGTGGTTCTGTGAATGGCTTGATTCCGGCATTGCTCAGATGAACAGACTGGAAGAAATGTTCCTAGGCTGCCACAAATAACTCATGCTTTTATCACAATGGTGTTTATGACAGTTCAACCTCAAATTTTTAAAACTATATACATATATATACACACACACACACACACACACTGAACTATTATCCACTATATATATGTGTACGCACACGCGTGCATATGCACACAAAATCTGTGTTTCTGTTTGTGTTTGCTGTTGACTTGTCAGCTCATCTTAAAGCTTCTGTTTTCCCGTTAGATGATCTCCACCTGGTAAACAGGAACAATGTCTGGAAGACTCATCAGAGTAGGGCAGCCAATCCACAACTTACAGGCTGTTGTGACTCAGGAGGACAATTCATCTTTGTTATCCTCTTTCTTGTGGGGCAAGATGAACTGTCTTATGGGTGACTTCCCGCACTCTCAGGGTGAGCTGTGATGCAGTGTGACTGGAGAGGACTCCTCAGAGGAGATGTTGATTGCGAGCAGATTCCTAATTCTAGCAAAAGTCATCTGGCTTGCAGCCTTCTCTC